GACCACTCTGTACCCTACAAAGATATGTAATGATTATACATGAATCATAAATTATCAAATATTTAAAGAGGAAAAAACCTGGCATTCCCACAACTGCCTCCTTGGGCTCGATTCATTTCCTAGTGGCCTCGCAGAACTCGGGGAGCACTTGCGTGGGTGGTTTATTATAAAGGGTATTAGGAAGGACGCAGGCGAGCGGCCAGGCTAGGAGGGGCTGGCACAGGAGTGTCTGTCCCCGTAGAGCTGGGCCACGCTGCCCTCCTGGCATGAGGATGTGTTCGTGACCGGCGCACTCTCTGGGCCCCGCGGTGCGGGATGTTCATGGGAGTGTCACCATGACTGACTAAGGTCTCAAGCTCCAGGCTTCCCTCAGGGCTTGGCCTTTCTGGTCACCGCCTCCCCCAGGAGCCACCAAGAGTCACCTCTGACACTAGGACCCGGAACAGTCCTCTGTCGCTCAGGAAATTCCCAGAGAACCTGGGTCAGAGCAAATAGAACACAGGGGTCTCCTGAACCCAGATGCTCAGGAAGTGACGAGGTCTCAGGAGCTGTTCCAGGGACCAGAATGTGTGCTCCTCTGCATGTCGCAGGCAGAGAGAGCCACGTTAAGGGGGCAGGAAGAGCCCTGTGAGGCAGGGCAGGCAGGTGTGTTGAAGGGCAGCTGGGCTTCCCAGCGGCTGGTGTGTTGGAGAGCGTCTGTGCTTAGACGGACGGACCTCAGAGAAGGGTCGGACTCCTTTTGGGGCTTTGAGCTGCGGCCATGAAACACCACTCCAGATGATTCTAGAATCAGGATGCCCTGAGTGGGCAGGGCCTTTGCGAGTGGTCCTTTCTGGTGCCTTCCCAGGTCTGCTTGGTCATATGAACCCACCAGGGGACACACAGGGTTTCACGGGAGAAGGAGGGTGCTGTGAAGTGGGGTTTTACCTTGGGTTGCCGTCGAGGCCTTGGGCTCTGCCATAGCAGGGGCCTCAGTGAGTGTGGGGCCAGCCTGACCTGCCCGTGTGCAGACGGGAGGTCCTGGGACCTGGGACCTGGGCTCCTCCGCCACGACCACACCGCTTGTGCTCTGTGGGGAACCTTTATCCACCCACGTGGTCTGCCCAAGATGAACGATGTGAGGAAGTGGTAGCCTCTTAGCGGTGCTGGGACATCCGCATGTGGGCTGTTCCCGTGTGCGTGTGTGTGTGTGCGCGCACACTGTGCATGCGTGCATGTGTGTGTACATGTGTGTGTGTGGTTCTCAGAAGGAGAAGTCTGTCCATTAAGATTGTCTTTTATGAAACTAGCAGATGGCATAATGGTCATGTCACTAGACTCCCATGTAATAGACAAGCTGTTCAAGTCCCGGACCTGGCTACTTAGAACTCACAGTGGGTGGGGTCGGCAGGTGGTGCGGTGGTTAAGGGTGCTGGATTCCCACATGGCTGACCACGGTTTGAGTCCTGGACCTGGTGGCTTTCTTTCTTTCTTTCTTTCTCTCTCTCTCACTCTGTCCCTCTCTGGTCAAATAAATAAATAAATAAATAAAGTCAAATAAATAATTCTTAAAAAACAAAACAAAACGAACAAAACTCACACTGGGTGTATGCGCCTGCATCTCCGGAAAGGAGAATGGAAGAGAAGGGATTGCAGTGTGGCCATCCCCCTTGGAGGGCTGGTCTTTCTCTCTTTCTGTCTCTCTGTCTCTCTCTCTCCAGTGAGACTCATGCCCTGTAGCAAAAATTCTCTCTCTCCAAAAAAAAAAAAAAAGATTGTATTTTATTAGTTTCCCCCCACCTTTAAAGGAAGCCTTTATTCTCATTTATTTATTTATTTATTTTATTTTTCTCCCCTTCATTTATGATAGGGTATGCATGTGCACATGTGAGAGTGGGGAGGCAGAGGCCCCTCCACGGGATCTGATCAGTCTGCAGTCCCCTTCCTCCAGTCCTTCACCCTGTCACCTCCTGGGCCAGGGATTCGAACCGTAGTCACTGCGTGGAGTCTGGCTTCTCTTAAGCAGCCCACTACTGCTACACCACAGAGCTGGCCCCTGCTTTGACCTTCCTCGAAAGCTGCCGAAGGGCCATGAACTTGGGGACACTGCAGACCTTCCTGGGTCTGTGGGCACCAGGGGGGTGGCTGCCGTGGAACTGTCCCTGTCTTGAAAGTCACCCTCGGAGTTACCCTTTCTCTGAAACATCCTGTCCTCCCCCCGAAGCTGTTTTGTAAGTCATTAGCATGTTGAGATTCCGGTGGGAGATGGCATACAGAAGGGCCTCGCTCCGTCAGCCCCTTGGAGGTTGGGAGGCACTTCAGCCGTGGAGTGCTTGGAACTTCTCTGGCTTTTCACAGACACCAGTGACGAGGGCCATCCAGCCAGGGCGGAACTTGCACTTGTTTAGCCTTCGTGATTTATCTTACGGAAGACGTGCCTCTCCCCCACTCTCCCCCGTCTCCATCGCGCCCGCCACTGCGCGCAAACGCCGGGTCGCACGTTCATCGACTTGCTCCTCTGCTCGCGCCTCCAAGGCAGGGCCTCTGTCTTCTCACCACCGTACGGGCTTGAACGGGGCCTGGCACGAGGTAGGTGCACGTGCACAGCTGGGCGGGGTGCCGTGTGCTGTGCCTCTGTGTGACCGCGAGGCCTGCTGCCACCTCCCAACCCGGAGGGACCCGGAGGCCTCCTGTCATGCGCTGGTACTGAGGACTCTTCCTGCCCTTCTCACAGGCCCCTGGTGAGCATCCAGTGCAGTTCCCGAATTCGTCCTCATGGTGGCACCCAAGGGGCCTGCACTGTGGCCTAGGGTTAAAGGAGCTGAGTCCCTCATGGCCAACCCTGTGGCTCAAATCCCATCTCTGGCGGCTTGAAAAACACGTGCAGCGTGTGTACGTGTGTGCCCCAGTCCTGACAGAACAGAGAGATGGAGGAGGAGGGATCGCGGTGTGGCCATGCCCCCCTGGAGCTGCCTTCTCCCTCTCCCTCTCTCAGTCTCTCTCTGGTGAGCGCACACACCCTGTGGCAAGTAGGAAACTATAGTGGCACCTGAAGAGCGAGGCCTCTCCCGCCTCGCCGTCTCCTGTGCTCCCCCGTGGCTGGCGGGCAGGCGTCGATGAGCACTTGGGGAACAAGCAACGTGAGTGGCTGTCACACCAAAATGGTCTGGTCTGGAAATGCTCTGTAAGGTGACCTGGAGCTCCTGCTCTGTTCATGACTTTTCACATTTACTTCCTTCTAAAAGCTAAGCAGGGGACCAGCAGTTAGCGTAATGGCTATGTTGCCGAACTCCCACGCAGTTGACCGCAGTTCGAGTCCCAGACCCGGTGGCTTAAACTCACGCTGGGCACGTGTGCATGCATGCCCAAGATTCCGAGAGGAGAATGGAGGAGAAGGGGTTGTGGCGTGGCCATCTCCTCTGGAGGGTGATTTCTTGCTTTCTGTCTCTCTGGGCCCCACGTGCCCCCTAGCAAAAACCTCTCAAAAAAAAAAAAAAAAAAAAAGCTAAGCAGGTTTCTGTTTGTGCCTGAACCTCTGTCAGTTTTGCCTCCCCTCCGAGGAGCTGAGCCAGTATGGCCTGCCTGGCAGAGGTGGAGACCCCATGTCCTGCCCCGGCTGCCTCCTGGGGTTGGTGCTGGGCCCCTGTGGAGCACTGGGCTGGCGAGGGCCTTCCTTGCCAAGTGCCCACAGACGGCCGGCTTTGCCCCTTGGTACCTGGTGCCATCACGTCCCTGCGCTGCCTCCTCCATCCAGCTTCCCGCGTGGGGGTCAGCTGTGGGGAGTGCTGGCTTTGGGCTTTGTGTGGTCAGTGCCGCTGGCCCACGGTCTCCAGTCCAGTGAGCCCTGGTCTGTGCCCTTCTAGTAGGAGTGAGGGGTGGGAGGCCTTGCAATCCCGGGACTTGTGGGTGACTGAGGACTCCTACAGGAAGCCGCCTAGGGTTTCCAGGGAGGTGGGAGTCAGCGATTACTGGGTGAAGAGAGCAGTGCTCCCGAGGCCCTAGGTGCCGTGTACTTCCACCCTCCCTCAGAAACCCCACCCGGGCAGCTCTGCCGAACCCCCGGCTCCACACGGGATCCTGTCCTTGTCGCCCAGCTGTGGGTGCTGAACCTGGCCGTGAAGCCAGCAGGGGGTCCGGCGGCTGGGAGAAGGGGACACTGCAGGCAAAGGCGGGCGTAGTTCCCTCCCACCTGCCCCTCTCCCAGGACATTCCCCGAGCAGGCCAGCCTCCTGCGGCCTCTGCAGTGGGCGGCCCCAGCTCCCTCGGCCCACTCTTTCTGGTACTTGGTTCTGTTGTCGTGGAAACAGTGACAAGTGTTCAGTGTGTCAGCGTTTGTCCTCTGACATAGCTGGCCACCTGGAGAGACAGGGGCGACGCGTGTCTGCGGTGATGTTCTTCCACATGGTCTACAGAGACCCAGCCCACGTGAGCTCCGAGACTCCCGTTGGGCTCTTGTCCCGAGGCCCAGAGTGGAGGTGGTCAGAGGTTCAAGTTTCTTAGTTGTTACAGGCACGTGCGCGTGTTAGAGACACAGAGAGAAAGTGAGAAGTCCCCCCAAGGGAGTGGCCACGCTACTGTCCCTCCTCTGCTCTCCTCTGGGGATTTGGGGCGTGTGCACACACCGGCATGATTTTCAGGCCACCCGGTCCCAGAGTTAGCCATGTGGGACCCAGTGCCTTACCGCCCCGCTGCCTGCCTGCCTAGCAGCTCAGGTTTTCACTGGTCCCTACTGAGAAGTCTCAAGTCACCCCAAAGTAGTGGAGACCCCCGTCCTTCCCTCCTTTGTCACGGGTTGTGGGTGTGTTTTTCAGGGGGCGGTGCGCGTGGCCCAAGGAGCCACTGGGGGCACAGAGCGTGGTCGGCTGTGGTCTGCAGGGTTCTGTGGTTTGAAAAGCCCCAGGGCTCCCGGCAGCTGCATCCTGTGTGACCTTCCTCGAAGTTCCCCTGGAGAGGCCTTTGGCTCAAAGTGCAAGTCATGGTGGCCATCCTGCCGTGTCCATATATGAACCACCGAGTGGCCCTGGCCATTCGCTCGCCTCGCCCGCAGCCGGGAGCGTTTCTGCCTGTCCGTCCGCCTCATCCTGCCCGCCAGTGAGTCCGTGTGCTTTCCCTCGAACCGTTTTCAGAAGTTGAGCCTGGGCGCTCAGTGCCTTTCCTACTTCACGGGGGTTTGTGAGCCGGCTGCGTGGCTTTCGTGGGGAGGAGTCACGGACCACGGACTTAGAAGGGAGAGAAAGGAGGACCGTCGGTTATCTCGCTCGGCCCCGGGCACAGGGTCTGCCTTGCGGGACATGGTCCCCACTGCTGTGGTGGGCCACGAAGCCCTTCTCGTCCGCAGAGTACTCGGGACGCTTGCTGGGACAGGTGACAGGGTTTCCCGGTGCCGGTCTCGACGGGGTGGGTTTCTCTTTGATGGTCTCTGGTCTGTTCCTTCTCTGTCACCGCTGGGTAAGAGACTGGGCCAGTCAGTGGGGGCACTTGGCGCCTGGCAAGCCTAGGGCGGGCCTGGTTGGCACAGCCCACCCTGGCGCAGTTTTCCTGCTTCCTCCCGGAACAAAGGCCCGGGATGTGAACTGGGCTGTGTCCCATGGACCATCCCAACTTCTTACTGCACTTTGCTCCATGCGCTCCTCATAACCACTTTCCTTTTACCGTTCAGGAAACCGAAGCCCAGAGAGGTTAAGTAACCTGCCCAGGCCACACAGCAAATGGGAAGGGGAATCAGGAGTTTGCCCACTTGCCTGGCTTTCTAGGCAGTGCTCTGGTCCTAAGCTTGAAGGTCACCTCCCTGGGACCTTCTGGGGGTCCAGTGAGATGACAGTCATTGCCCCTGTGGTCCTGACGCCAGGCAAGCTTGCAACAGCTGGGCCTCCCCTGCGTGTGGGGTCGAGACTTCTGAGCTCGGCCTGCGAATCCCAAGGAAGAGAGCCCGTGCCCAGGTGGGGGACAGGGGGCCCTCCCCGAGGTGCTCACAGGGGGTGTCTGCCCTTGGCCTTTCATGCTTCTCAGCAGGCCTTTGTGGGGCTGGGGCACTTCTGGAGGAGGAGCCTACCAGGTGGCCTGAGACGGTAGGCCTCAGCCCGGGAACCGGCTAAGTGGCTGACCAGGAGGGAGCCGTGGTCCACGGGGCTGGCCAGGGAGCGGTCCCTCCACCCGCGGCTTGTGAGACCCCATTCTTCGTTCATCCCTCTCCCCACCCTGTCAGACCTCACTCCTGAGGCGAGATCTTGGCGGGGATCTTCTAAGCCAGCGTGTCCTTGTCATGGGCTTCTGCCCGACCCCAGAGCAGGGGTCCTGGGGCCCAGGGTCGCCCCTACCCTGTTTCCCCAGCGTGTCCTGGGTCGGTGCTGGGTGGGCAGGGAGGGACAGACTGAGGTCACGAGTGCGTTGGACAGCCAGGGCCCTGAGAAGTCCTGAAAAGACACCCCAACCTTCGCCTTGTCCTGTTGGTGCTGCCTCCTTGGCCTGCGCTCGAGTCACCAGAGTCAGATCCGTGAATGTCCATGCCCAGGACTCACCTGGGACAGACTGGCGTCGGCCACTGCCGCATCTCAGTCCTCATGGTCTCTGGGGCTTCCGGAAATGCCCCTGCCCCTGCCTCTATCCCCCCCTGGGGGGCTGAAGCTGAGCTCCCCGTGCTCCCCCTGCTGATGGGAAGAGGGGCGTCTGTTAATGTTTCTCTTAAGAAAGGGGTCCGGGGGGCCAGCAGTTAGCGTAATGGCCGTGTCTCTGAACTCCCATGTATTTGACTATAGTTCGAGTCCCAGACCCGGTGGCTTCAACTCACGCCGGGCACATGTGCATGCGTGCCCAAGATCCCGAGAGGAGAATGGAGGAGAAGGGTTTGCGGCGTGGCCACCCCCCCCCGGGGGGGGATTTCTCGCTTTCTGTCTCTCTGTCTCTCTGTCTTTCTGGTGAGCACACGCGCCCTATAACTAAAAAAATAAAAAAGAAAGGGCCCGGCTCTGAGAGCTGGCAGGCCTGAGCCCGGCCCTCCGCTGTGGCCACGTGCTCCACGCCCGTCGCTCAGCACCGGAGCGTTTCCCTGGAGCCCCTTGTCACTGCGCTTGTCACCTCCTGCCACACCTACTGTCTCTGCGGACGTGGTGCCGTGCCTGTCCGGGTCTGGCTAGCAGGGCAGGGAGGGTGCGGGTCCTCACAGCATTTCTCAGCAATGGAGGCCATGGGCGATTTCGACTTCCCCAAGATTTATTTTCCTCCTTGGTAAACGGCAACAAGGACAAGCTGGGTTCACCCGTCGTCATCCCGCCTGGCCCAGGAAAGGGGACCTGCGCTCCACTGGCGGCCGTTCCATTCTGCCTGTGGCTGGCCGGGCTCTGCCTGCCCCGCCTTCCCCTCTCCTGCCTGGGGACCCGTCCATGCCTCATGGCTCTGCAGTCGGGGCCTTCCCTGTGGCAGACAGGCCCGACCTGGGGACCTGAACTCTGAACGCCACGGGCTCCCGCTCTCCCGGCCACGCGCCCTGCGGAGCACCTGCCATCACCTCCAGACTGTTGGGAGCCCTGGCTGTGCTGGTGGACCGGATGCAGGAGGGCAGGCCCACGGAGCTGGTCCTTAGTCCCTGGCCTGAACCCCAGGCCACCTCACCGCCCATCCAGGGAACAAGGGGAGTGACTCTGAGAACCAGCTGATAGGACTCAGAGGCACCCTGTGTCTCCCTGCCTTATCATCAGACCTCTTCCTGCCACAGGACAGCCCAGAGAGAAAGGATGAGTTTCTGTTATTTTAATAAGGCCCCTTCCTGCCTGGAGAGTGAGGGTAGAAGGCTGGCATCCTCTCCCTCCACCCTGTAGGCCAGACTTCTTCAAGACTCAGGTCTAAGGTTGCCTCCTCCAGGAAGCCTCCCTGACCACCACGCCATCCATCCTGCATCCCCCGGCATTCTCATATACGTCCGTATGTGTCTGTTGGACTCCACGGCCCTGGGGACAGGGCCTGTGTCTGAGTCTTCCCTGGCCCCCGGGTGCCCGACCTAATGTTAGCGATGTCCACCAGGTGGGTGTTGGGTGAGTGGATGGCAGACGCCAAGGAGGCCGAACCCTGTGCTAACTGTAGCAGAAACTGCACAAGGCAGACTGCTTCTACTGTCAGAGGGACTCGGAAGCTAAAAGTGGATTTACCCACTCCGCCTCTCCCCAGTCCTGCCCCTTAGACCTCTCGAGCGCCCACTGCGATAAGGAGAACCAGGAGGCAGAGGCCCCCTACAGTCCAAATGTAGACGTTTCCGGCAGCCAGGGGGGGGGCCGCACCTCCCCCCCCAGGTGCCCCCAACCCTGGAACAGAAGCACTTGTGGCCTGTGGCAGGCGGGGCCCGGGAGGCAGAGGGCTGGCCCGGGACACGCACTGCGGCCGCTCCGTCCCTCACTGCGAACTCTCCAGCCAGCCAGGGCCTGGCATCACCCTCATTTGCTGTGCCTCGCGGCATTCTCACACACCCTTGTACATCATCCGTGTCGCCCGTCATGCCGAGGGACCGCGCCGTGTCCAATCCAGGTCCTCGGTGGGCAGCTGTCGAGGGCCTGCTGTGTGCAAACCCGTGCTGGGCTCTGGAGGGAACACGAGGCCCCTGCACCAGCTGGTGATCGTGCACTGCAGCCGAAACCTGCAGGTGCACGACGGGCAGAGATGAAGCAGGGTGCTGTGAGAACCGCCCAGGGCACTTCGGGGTCGGAGGGCTCTCTGGACGTGGGGGTGGGGGTCAGGAAGTGCCCTCCCTGCACCCTGGTCACCCCCTGTGCCCCCGTGCCCTCCCTGCTCCCTGGTGCCCTGCCTGCTCCCTAATGCCTGCCTGCTCTCTGGCACCCTTGCTGGTCCCCGCTGCCCTCCCTGCCACATGGTAGCCCCAGGGTGGCCCATGTGAGGGTGGGGCCTTAGAGTCTGGGTGTGCCAGGGCACTGCAGGCTCATGGAGATGGATGGATGTGCCGTGGAGCCCGGCCCTGCCTGGACAAGAAAGCAGAGGGGCGAGGGAACCTGGTCAGCCCTCTGTGCCAGGGAGACCCACCTGTGGCCACCACCATCCCCCGGGCTCCCCCAGGGCAGAGCCAGGGTAGCAGCAGGCAGAACCTCCCTGCTTGGCCATGCCTTGCCAGAGGGCCCTGGGTGTCACAGGCAGTAGGCCTAGCACTTAATGGTCCACATAGCAGAGGGCAGCTGGGGCGCCCACACAGCAGGCCCTGGCCGGGGAAAGCAAGCCCCTCATGCCATCCTTGCCTTCACGGGAGTCTGACGGCAGACAGTACACGGTGGTAGAGAGACGCTGGCTCTGCTCCTGCCCAGGCTCTCGGGTCAGCAGGGACCGGCTTCTTCCCCCCGGCCCTAGCCCTGCTGTTTGCATGGAGGACCCTGGTGGGCCGGCCTGTGTGTCACGAGCTTGTCGGAGCATCCCCGGCCTCTGCACAGCAGATGTCAGCGTGACGACCCAGACTACCTCCAGACACTGCTGATATCTCCTGGAGGCTGGGGGACAAGATCGGGCCACCAAGAGTCACTGCCCTAGGAGGGGCTGCCCAGGATAGGGGGTGTGGAGGGAAGGCCCCAACCCTGGGATGAGAGCGCTTGCCATGTGCTTGGAATGTGCATGGATTAGCCTGGCTGGAAGTCTGATTGTCATCAGCATGTCACACAGCGCGGGCCCGGTGCCCCCGCCAACGCCATCGCAGTCCCCCTATCTGGGCTTCAGTGGCCGAGGGTTCAATTGCCTGCCACCGACCGTGACCCAGAAGTAGCATAGAGAGGGCAGTCACAAGAAGCCCAGAGTGCGTGCTTCCGCGGTGCTTCTCCAGGCGGGGCTGTGACTGTCCCGCCGTTCACCCCACCGAGGCTAACTGGCATGCTAAGCCTTCATAGGTGTGTGCTGTTTAGGGAAACAGCCCCGTGGGGCTCCGTTCTGCCTGTGGTTTCGGGCCTTCACTGCAGAGAAAGGGGGCGCCACGGTGGAGAAGGGGGGCCACTGTGGAGACAGAGAAGGGGGTGCCTCCACAGAGAGGTGGGTGCCACTGTGGAGATGATGGGGGTCACTGCAGAGAAGGGGTGCTTCTGCAGAGAAGGGGGTGCCACTGTGGTGAGCAA